GACAAGCATTGTTCTTCTGCAAAAGCTGATTAGGTGTAAGTGTAGAGGGTCCTCTTCTGTTGCCAAGCTCATAGCTCTGAAAATCAGCTGAGACAAATCAGAGTCAGCAGTCTTTGCCAAAATGTAGGTATCTAGAAACCGTAAGAGCTCTAATGCTGTTCTTACTGAGCAGTTCATCCCATCTCTTGGGCCTTTCTTTTTAATTCTTCTGTTGTGGCCTGGCATCTCAATGTGTGAGTGACATTTGGCCCAGTCATTGCTGTTGTCTTAAGATTGTTTCTAGAATTTTTCCCCCATATAATTGAATGTTTTGCGATTAGTGTCTTCCTATGTTGAAGATTCTGAACATAGTTTGCTAGAGTTCCGTGATTATTATTCAGTCATTGCTGTTGTCTTAAGATTGTTTCTAGAATCTTTCCCCCATATAATTGAATGTTTTGCAATTAGTGTCTTCCTATGTTGAAGATTCTGAACATAGTTTGCTAGAGTTCCGTGATTATTATTCTGTATTTCCTTTAGTTTCAGATGCTTCGTCAAGGTGAATCAAATAAAAGAGAAAAGATGAAGACAAAGGGAGTTGACTTTGAAGACGACTTGAGAGATGAAGTAGAAGACGCTGTCCAGAAAGTTTGCAATGCAACTGGATGTTCAGTTAGTATTTGTGTCATGCAACAATGATTTATAAACAGGTGTTGCTTTGCCCAGTTTACCGGCGAGTTTTGTACCAGCACACTAGCATGCCAACACCTGATGGACCAAAATAGGTCCGTGAAATTTGTACTTCGATTAGGTTATGTGATACGACTTAATGAGAGCTGTTTATTCGTTTCCCTCTTGTTTGCCAGACTTTACCCCCTACTGCTCAAAATCCTAAAGAAGTATGTGGATTTAATTTTGTCTGACTAGTGTTTGCACTAGTAAAAGTGCATTTTTATACAGGAACTTCTTTTATAAATGTATATTAAATGGTTATTTCAGGTGACCAACCTTATTGAAAATTGACATTTTCTAAATGGAAAAGGTTTTGAAACCTTATGTCAATTCTCATTATTTTGTCTTGTGTTATCAGATCGTGAAGTAGAGCTAGGTAGAAAAATATATGCAGAGTTTGAAGTGTTTTTCTTTTTTTTGGATAGGATTTTAATTTAATAGTTCAGAACCTGGAAGCTGAAAATTATAATATTGAATCTGCAATAATTGCCATGCTTCAGATGAACCAGGGGAAAGGAAATAGTAAGTCCATGACTGATATTTATAAGCCTTCAAAATGATTATGTTGGTGATTTTTCCAAATATTTATTTTCAATCAAGTCATAGGTAGTAATTGTATTGTCATTTATTCAATTCATTCAGCAATTGTTTATTGAGCACCTTTCATATGCAAGCATTTTTAACTAGATCCTGGCCCTGCATCAGAGAGGGTATATTTTGGGGGGTGGGTGAGGGATAGTGGAGACAGGTAAAGTGGCATAATAGTACATAATGGAGTGGGGGTGCAGGGTGCTAGGGAATGCCTGAGAAGGCCGCCTAACCCAGTATTGGAGGGATGGAGAGTGTCAGAGAAGACTGTCCTTTTAGAAATAACAATCTCCTTAGAAAACCAGAATGATAACTGAAATAAAATGGAGAGAGAAATCCTTTTTCTTTTTATGATGGAAATATTGAGATTACTAACATCTATCAACTGCTGATAATTCAGAATTTTTTGTTACTTGAACTGAGTTTTATTTTGTGACTCAGAGGAAAGAAAAAAGATGTAACATTCTATTAATTTCTCAAGTCATTTATTTAAATGTTATCAGTAAACATTTAATGCCAGGTATTATGTACCCGATACTGTTCCTGGCATTATAGTTCTCCATGTGATTGGGTATCTTATTATCTATTTTATATATTTGCTGTGCCTTCTTAGAAAGCTGTAAGTAACTTGGTCTTAGTGACTTTAAACAGCACTGTACAGTGTCTTTACTTTTCAGTATGGTGTGTACTTGACATGTGGATATTGAGACTGGGGAGCTACATTACATTTTATTTAATTTTAATTAATTTAAATGTAATAGCCATATGTGGCTAATGGCTACTGTACTGGATAGCACAGCTTTAGAGTCCATTTCTTTTATGGATTTTGTGTGCAAATGAAAGATTTCCCACTGAAAACTCATGCTAAAAAGTGGCTTATCTAATAAAGCACTCTGCTGATGGGAAGGTGATCATAAGGCTGGTCAACAGGTTATTTTAAAATTTATCTTCTAAATTTTACTGATCATTTTTCCCCTATATTTCCTGCTATATTGACTTGATAATTAGAATTTTGTCTCAAGGAAACTTGCTTCCCAAATGTAGTGATCTAGGGACCCAGGTAATTTTGGAGTCAGTTAACATAGTAATCACATTGTATAACTCCCTTAGGTTCTCAATTTTAATCAAAATATCTTTCTTTGGAAGATGCAGAGGAGAATCTCGAGCCGAGTGGCCAAGTGGCGAAGCAGTGTGGCCCTTTATGGGATGAGGGTGGCAGTGGCTCCAGAATCTTTGGAAATCAGGGCTTAAATGAAGGCAAGACCGAAAACAATAAGGCGCGGGCCAGCCCTAGTGAAGAAAACAAAGCAAATAAAAACCAAGTCCCAAAGGTATGAAGGATGGGGTCAAAAGGGCAAATGGTGGGCTGCTGTAATTCTGTGGCAGTTCTGGGAACTTGAAATTCATTTTAGTGTGTATTCTCCTTTTGATTTATAGAGGTAGTTGTTGTGGAGAATGTGGGGCATGCATAAAGGTATATCAAAGAGGCAGAATGAAGACCTCACTTGTCCTGTTTGGTGTACGTAGTGACAATTGGAAGGAAGTGTACCCTGAAATCGTCCTCCGTGAACAAAGCCTCCTTTTCTCACCTAACATTACTGTACTTGTGATCCTTCCCATGCTAATCTACCATTTATATGAATGCCATCATCTACAGTGTACAACTTTATTTATAAATCTTTGTGTTTTGCATTATTTTCTTGGACAGAGTCCCAGAAGAGGAATTAACAGGTTAAAGGGTATGGATATATTAATCTTTTTAGGGCTTTGGTAAATCGTCAAGTGCTTCCCAGAAAGGTACATCTCCCTCCCTACCGCCTCCCCCCCAGTCCCATAAGTAGTATGTGACACCATTCATTTACTGAATTTGGAATTCATTTTAATGACTTTCATCAAAAATTTCTGAGCTCCAAATGCCACCTAATGTATTTTTATTTATTTATTTATTTTTTCCCTTTTTGTCTTTTTTCGTGACCGGCAGTGGATCGCAACCCTCAGTGTTGCGCCCGGACCGGGACCGGCAATGGGAT